CGCAGGCCGATGCTCTATCCACTGAGCCAAACCGGTTAGGGCCATCATGGATGTTTCTATCTCTCTCTCCCTCTCCCTTCTTCTCTCTGAAATCAGGAAAAAACATTTTTTAAAAAAGAAAGACTAGTTCAATGTAACAGGGTAACTAAGATGACCCCTATTACCATATACTACTTGTTATATAGTAAATTAGAACGTAATTTCATTCACACAGTAGGTAACTAGTAAGCACCTGCTGAATTGTACCAAGTGGAGCCGTTTTGGCTTTGGAACAAGGAGAGTTACTGCCTAAGGAGCTAGAGTAGAGAGAAGGTTTGCGTTGGAAAGCAGGAATCGGACTAGGGAGTGCTTTGCGTGTGTTTCTCACTAGTTTTAATTTGACTCCCAGGGTCGAGCCTGGACGGCTCTGGAATGGGAAACTGTCACGTGGACAGCAGAGTCGGGTTTGGCGAGCTGCTTCAGATGGACTGAGCTGGGAGAGTGCATGCGCCTCCCTGCTCAGAGCGGGTTCTGTCTCCTTGTTCCCCTACATCAGATACCTGCTCCGTTTCCCTGTAATCTCATAAGTGGGACCCCTTTGTGCTCCCTGAGTCGTTGGTTTTTTTGCATTTGCCTTAACAGTAATTCTACAGGAATTTTTACGTTTTTGTATGTTGCTTTAAAGGGAATTCTACTGTTATTTTCTTGAACATCCCCATAGAGATTGTGCCTGTTGTGAATTGTGACCATTCTGCAATATTATATGTGAGAACAGATGACATGGGAAATATTTTATTCATTCTCCCAGCTATCACATAACAGAACCTTTTCACCAACTTATAAAATTCGGGGGCCCTCATTTGAAATACTTTGGGGAAATCTTTCTACTTGTGTATGAGGTTAAAAAGGTAACTATTTCACGCATTCATTTTAGCGGTTATTAGTTAACATCATTTACTGCAAAATATTTATCCAATTACCTTCTCAGGCTTTAATGGTGATCTGTGTGCAGGCAGCCGAGCAACTCCCAGTTTTTCCGCCTCTGCTCTCCTCCCCTTGCTCCCAGCCCCAGGGTTGAAAGTCCTATTTTTAAGCCTGTTTCCTTTGAGTTGTTTTCCTTCATATCTGTCACTTGCTTTTGACTGACACGTTTGTCGAAGGCACCAGGGGGCCTTCATTGCGGAGCCCGCTAAACTTTAAAGGCTGGTTTCTCTCTTCAAAGGGATGGAGTCAAATGAATGATGGTCCCCCCAGGAGCTGGGGACTGTGGGGCTTGGCAACCTGGCAGGGCTCGGGCCTGTCTCCCTCCGGCCTGGAGGCCCAGGCCTCTCAAAACTGAAAGCTCCCTGCTGAGGGGCAGCTGCTGCCGGGTGTTCATCAGTGTGGACACCGAAGCAGGATGAAATGCAAATGGAAACGAGAACAGAGGTGAAGAGAAGAAAGGAGGATGGCTTCTGGCAAATATATGGAGACACAGCACTTAATTAGTTCACAGAGGGAATCTTAATTGTTGAGAATATGAGTAGAGTATCCCCCATATTAAAGAAGAATATGAGTGGAATATCCCCCATATTAAAGAAGAATATGAGTAGAGAATCACCCATATTGAAGAAGAATATGAGTAGAGTATCCCTCATATCGAAGAATATGAATGCAATATCCCCCATGTTGAAGAAGAATATGAGTAGAGTATCCCCATATTAAAGAATAATATGAGTAGAGAATCGCCCATATTGAAGAAGAATATGAATGGAATATCCCCCATGTTGAAGAATATGAGTAGAGAATCACCCATATTGAAGAATATGAGTGGAGTAGCCCCATATTGAAGAAAAATATGAGTGGAGTATTCTCATATTGAAGAAGAATATGAGTGGAGTATTCTCATATTGAAGAAGAATATGAGTAGAATATCCCCCATATTGAAGAAGAATATGAGTGGACTATCCCCCATATCGAAGAATATGAGTACAGAATCGCCCATATTGAAGAATATGAGTGGAATATCCCCCATATTGAGGAAGAATATGAGTGGAGTATCCTCATATTGAAGAAGAATATGAGTGGAGTACCCCCATATTGAAGAAGCTCTTTACTAATCCCAGAAGTCCGTTGGGGTTCAGTTGCCTGATTTGGGAAGTCAGATATTCGACTATCTAATTGTAGAAGAATGGGATGGGATGCAGTGGATTCAATAATTATAAAGTGAAAGTGAGATAAAGGCAACTGTTCTGTTTATCTTTTGATGAAAATCCTGAAATTGGTGTTAATAATTTAGTGCTAGAAAGAATAAGAAATTGCTTTTAATGTCTCTAATAAAATTGAAAAAAGTTATTATTTATATCATATAGCTACATTTCCCACATTGGTACTTAGGGACTTTAAGAATTTTTATGGTACTTGTACACTGGTTATTAAATTTTCATCTATCACTACTACATCCCTACTTTCTAAGGTTGATAACTTGATTGTAAATAACAATAGCAAAAACTTAAGACCCAGATGGTCTTTTAGCATTACAGTTTACTTCACCATTTAAAAAGACTGGAAGTTGACCTAAACATTGTTATCTAGAGACCATCCATCCCTTTCTAGCTTTGAGTTATGTTTGTTTTTCTATTTAATAATTTGTGTAATAAACATAGGTAATGAAAAGAAATATACCTACTTTATTTAGCATTGTAGTCACTATTGATGTAGTAATATTTAACAAATGAATCATAAGAATTCAGGGCACAGAGTGTGATGTCTAAGATTATCATCAGTAAATATTAGCTAATTATATAAATGATTGTCTCCAGTGTTTTAACAAATAACAAGAATTGGATTGTGGAGAGACTCCTTCTCGTGGACAGACTACCTGTTCCCTACCTAATCTTGTGGGATGAAAGCTACGTTTTCTAACAGATAAACTTTACCATGTGAATATTGGTAATGAAATGTTTACATGTGAATATTGTATTGGCTATTTAAACAGATATGATTTTTATAATTTGTGGTTTCTTTCTGAGACATTTCTGGAATGACTGGGAGGCATATTTTGGGGGAAATAAAATTGTGACCATACTTGATTATTTGCTAGAAGTGAACACTTTGATCTGATGTTTAAAATCGCTTCATTGTATTTTTATAAAGATTATTCTCCTACCCTCAATTGTAAATTTTTAGAAAGAATTCTGTAAGAATGTTTCTTGACATTTTCTAATACTGTGAAATATCCACTAATAAGCCATCACCGTAAGTACATGCTTTCAAGTTTAAAATGTACTGGCACTCCAGCATCGTGCTACTTCCCACAAGCTGAAATCTCTATTAAAGTCATTTGTCAGGTTTTCAGAAAGGGCGTCTCGTGACTGAAGTGGCACAAGGTTCCCACTGTAAGAACTCTGTACCCCTGAGGCCGGCCAGTGACATTGACCCTGAGAAGATCATCATGCATGGATTTCACTGTTGCTTAATTTCACTTAAAAAAAATTGAAACTGTACCTGTTTGCACATCTTTAAAAGTAAAACAAAAATTGGCTTGAAATAACAGGACAGGATATTTGCTTCTATTTTTTTTTTAAAGCACCATGTACTAGGTAGATCATGCAAAGTCATTTAAATATTCACATTGGCAACTATAAATCTTTCGTGGGTTACTTGCAGCAATTGGATTGAGCTTATGCTTTATATATAGGTCTGATTTCTGAGAAATACGTACCCTGATTATTTCTGATCAGGTTGAAAGCTTACATTTGTATCGTGAGGGTAAATTAGTTATAGATTCTGTTTTATTGTGTTCAGTTGCATTGTTTACATCAGGCAGTTTATCACATGGGTGCATGTGAAATTTCTCCATTTATTAAATTTCAGATTATGTATTTCAAGCCCGTGCAGGACTCTAAACATTTTTTTCCATACGTATAGCTTCAGGTAAACAAGCAATTTTAGCCCCGAAAATAGCTTCTGCTTCTGTCAACACGCTGTTTATTCTTTCTCTGAGATAAAAAGTTCAGTTTTCTGATATTTGTACCAAGATAAAGTCAGTAAACAAGATTAATACAGTGTGGAAAAGGTTGTCAGCAGCCCTGGCAAAGGAAATAAGTTGCCTGTACATAGAACACACTGTAAACTGAATAAAAGTGTCAGGTCCACCAGGAGATAATGTGATCATGAACCCTTAACAAAGCATGACATGGGCCCGGCCGGCTTTTCTGGCAGCCACAGTGCGGAGAATGGATTACGGCATCCCAGGGATACCCGCTGGAGGAGCGTGAAAACCGCATTTGGAGACGAATGCGGGATGGAGCCCTGGAGAGGAGCCACATGTTGACTGGCAGTGCTCGGACCTCAGGGTTGTTAGTGTCCTTGACCGAGCACGTTTGCAATATTTGCATTTCTTGGGATTGCCGATGGTACGCTGGCGTCCTTGTTACCCAAGTGATCCAAGAAGAACATATTTGAAAATGTTAGTGTGGGTTTTTTCCCCCCTCAGCATGCCTTTTGTTAAGTCTATACTCTAAATGGCACTTCTGTAGTTACAGGGGTATTGCATTTTTATTACCTCGGAGTATAGCAGGGCCTTTTGATGTAAGTTTCTGTCCTGTTGATTGTCATGGTGGGTTCATTCTTGCATGGTGTTGCTGATGCTCTCTTTGAGAGCCTTCTGTCAGGAGAGTTGTGAATTTATTTTTCCATGGGTGTAGGTTTCATTATGAAAATGCTTTTGAACCTTTCGTCCTTTATCAGATTTGTAAAACTTTTTAGAAGTATACAAATAAAATATTGTTCTTTTAGGCGCAGTTACGTTTTGTTGTATGCAAATACACAGATAATTCCTAACTTTGTGGGAAAGCTTTAGAAAGTTTTGTATTTAGGAATGAATGACAAAGACATTGGTCTTGGGAATGCCCTTTGCTCTGTGAGATTTTGTTTAGATGTTGAGACTTATCAGATTGTCCACTCTACAGCAGATGTCCTCAGGTGGACCTGTCTCTCTACGTCCCTGTCTTTCTAGAAACGCACCTGTGACTGTTTCCTGTTTGAATTCTCCTTGCAGGGGACCGCTCCGGGGCCAGTCAGTAACAAGAGGATGGTTCACTTCTCCCCGGATTCTCACCACCACGAGTGAGTGCCCGCTGACTGTACGCTGAGTGTAATCTCCTTGTTGGTGTTCTGCATCTCTCTTTGTGGAAACTGGTAGCCATTGCTGGTGAAGGCGGTTTAATTGGGTTCTATCTTAAGAAAGAGTCAATATCATAGACCCGTGACGGATGCAACTACCATTTCAATGCGTCCCATGGAGAAATTTAAATAAAGGTTTTTAGTACAGTCCTTCTTTTATTTGTGGTGGAATTGGAAACTCACGTGTTATCTGGAAACATTTAAATTGTTACATGAAGTAGCATCAAGCTCTTCTCCTCCATTCTGTCTGACTTGCTAACATGAGGACTAAGTGACTTTTTCTCCTGACTTCTCCGCGCTCTGCTCCTGTCCAGCATCAGCGGTGAGGGACCGTAATGTATTTCCATTTAGCAACAAAAGGAAGAGACTCATTCACTACATAATTCAAAAAACTAAGTAACTGAGCTTTGACTGGGATGAATTATTGGGTAAATTTCTAGGTGCTAATTCCTTTTCTAAATACATCTTTGTTGGAAGAGCTGAAATACATTATATACTTTGGCTCAGTCCCATATGTCTCCTGCGGAGTTGGTTGAACTTGAGAAAGGCCATAAAGTATGGAAAGACATGAATTAATTATTGAATTTTTTCTGGCAGCCAATCATATTAGGATCCATTGGATTCTATTTTTTAAATCCATTCTTTAATAAATATAAAATTTATAGATCAGATATAGCTTATTTTATATAGATTAATATAAGAATAATTTATGTGATGTAAAATGTTATTTATATAGATATAATTTTATATAGCTATTCATTTTAATAGCTTATTTCCTTCATTTTTATGATTCTACTAGAACAGTGGTTCTCAACCTTCTGGCCCTTTAAATATAGTTCCGCATGTTGTGACCCAACCATAAAATTATTTTCATTGCTACTTCATAACTGTAATGTTGCTACTGTTATGAATCATAATGTAAATATCTGATATGCAGGATGGTCTTAGGCAACCCCTGTGAAATGGTTGTTCAACCACCAAAGGGGTCGCGACCCACAGATTGAGAACCGCTGTACTAGAGGCTTAGTGCATGAAATTCATGCCCTGGGGGTTGGGGGCCCTCAGCCGGATTGCAAGAGGGTATAGGCCAGGTCAAGGGACCCCACCGGTGCATGTTCAGGGCCGAGGAGGAATGCAGGAAGTTGGCCAGCCGGGGAGGGACCACGGGAGGGCTCCAGGGCGTGTCTGACCCATCTCATTCAGCCCCAATCAGCCAGACCACAGCAGCAAGCTAACCTACCACTTGGAGCGTCTGCCCCCTGGTGGTTAGTACACGTCATAGCAATTGGTCAACTGGTTGACTGTCTGCCCCCTGGTGGTCAGTGCACGTCATAGTGACTGGTCAACTGGTTGACTGTCTGCCCCCCTGGTGATCAGTGCACGTCATAGCGAGTGGTTAAGCAGCCTTAGCATATCATTAGCATATTATGCTTTGATTGGTTGAACAGATGACTGGACAATTAGCATATTAGGCTTTTGTTATATAGGATAAGACCTTTCGATTATCCCTTGAACAGAAGGGAGGAGGGGAAGCAGAGTAAAGCATTTATTATCTCAGAATGACAACCAAAAGACTGGTACATTTTATCCTTAATTTTCAGTTCTGATATAAACCCAAAACTCTAGCCAGTAGATTTAGAGTTTTTTAAACCATAGATGCCTTTGGTAATGACTGTGAAAACTCTGAGGGCAGACAGGTGCTGTACCTCTCTCTCACCTGTTACCCATGGCACAGTGCCGGGCAGACAGGAAGCATTACTGAGTGAATGGAGAGGTGAAATGTGAATGTAAAACAGGACATTGTGTATTTCATTTTAAGGCACTTCTTTGTAAGGTATGGGATATTTACCTGAGGGACTGTATGTACAATGACACTTACTTTAAATGCACATGGATATATCTACTTATATCCTATGGTGAATTCCTTTATAAAGCAAATACCCTTTATTTTACCTTTTGTGTAAATATGGAGTTTGCTTAAAGCCAGATTTGCCTGGATCATAGGTTATGTTCACTGGGAATACTGTTACACTTTGAAATGTAGCATCTACTGCTATATAGTGAGAGTGGCTTGAACTTTATGTTGCGATACATCCACAAACGGGATCAGTTCCTCCTCTGATTTACTGTGATTCCCTTGGGTGAGTCGTTTAGCTTGCATATGTCTTAATTTTTAGTTATGGAATAACGGTAATAACAGTCCTTTCTCATAGCAGCCATTTTCACAAAATCCTTATGTAAAATGCAGAACGGTTATTAAACTAGGTATAAACATTTCAAGATAATGATGACGATGATGCTTTCTTTGGATAGCGCATTTTACTTCTCGAGTCTTTTCATAAGGGCCACTCTCCTCAGTGTGTTTACTGCTTCTCTGAGGCATCACAGCGATATCACATCCCCAATTTATACGTAATGTGATTGTTCTAATGCCAAACACTGTCCTCCACCAAAAGTCAGTTAAAGAAACAAATGTCTTCAGCATCTATTTCATATTTGCTAGAATGTTCCACCTTTCGGTGGGGCGGGGGGGTGACTGATAAATATTACCCACAGGTTTTGGCGTCTTTGATGACATTTAGGGATAAAAATTCCCTGAATGAAAGTTTGCCTATTACTCTGCTCGCTGTGTACAGTGGGGAAGAAAATTAGTATTGAAACCACTATTCTGTGCCAGATTCTTGGTCCCGTTTAAGCCTCCCTATACTGTAAGGGAGGCGGGATGAATTTGATTTCCTGAATGTCAAGCTCTGTCCCTGGACATGCCCACACTGGCCCTGTACCACGGGGGGACGGAGCTTGGGGACCACGGAAGGTGGTGAGGTTGGGATGAGATAACCCATGTGTGACCTTGAGCCTGGTACCCAGCGCACAGCTAACATTTCCTGGCCGGTGGTGTCATGAGCCTGGAACGAATGGGTTCAGGTACGTTCAGCTGATGCTCCCAAATCCACATCAAGGGCTTTGTGGAGCATAGCCGGGCGATGTCAGATTCTTTTTTATTTTTTAATGTTTTTTAAGACTCCCACCAATCTAGAGGTCATCATTTGTTGTAATGATGCCATAATTAAGTTGTGGTAAATGATAGCATTTGTAGATTTTACAACCAGAATTGATTCATAAAATGAATACAGTCCCAGCAGTTTATGTTAACATAATTAAATGGAAATTTAATTCTAACTGAGTTTGCTTATTAAATTGAAAATTACTGGGTTGTGAGCACTCTTACATTTCTGTCCAAATTGCTGTAAGTCTAGAATTACATGAACTATCCATTAGAATAAAGCCTATTTCAGGCGCCGTGGCTGGCGGTGCATACATTTCCCACAGCCTGCAGCCTGGTGGCGGGGGACTACGCAATTGGGTCAGGTTCATGCTAACCCCTCTCCTCTCTCCTCCGCAGCCACTGGTTCAGCCCCGGGGCCAGGACCGAGCACGGCCAGGTAAGGACCATTCCCATCCAAAGGAAGCTGCTTGGTCTCCTTCAAATACTTAACTGTTTCCCTTCAGGGCGGTAGATCAGCTTTACGAGAAAAAAATATAAATCTGAGCTTGAGGAATTAATTGTGTCCTCGCTTAATACACAGACCACATGAACGAGCCTCGGTGAGCACTGACTTCCCCCACTGCCACCATCTCAGTCACACCTGTCTCCTCTGTGAACAGACTCTGGGGTTCATCTTTGTGGTTTTTGGCAAAGTTAAGGCACCAAATAGTCCGTATGTTTAAGTAATTTGAGGTTATTTAAATGAGATCAGCCAGCAAGAGGATATTTTTGTCCTTGCCCTTTAGAAGGTGGCAATAGTTTCCTACACGTTATGTTATATTTGTGGATGTGTGTTTTATTTGCTCTCTTATTCGTCCACCTGGCAGTACAGTGATCAGTTGACTTAGCCAGAACTGACGTTCCCTTTAGTTAACTTTACACATAAAGTTAGTTCTCTGTGGCATGCTAAGGTAGTTTAGGGCTTACAGTTTTTATGTGTTTTATAAAGCGTAGATATCTTAGACTTGGCATCGTGGCCAAGCTTTTTTTTTTTCGTTATTGATGATAAACTTATTATTTAAGTGGGTCAAAAATATGATATGTAAGGAGTACATGGGAACGATAAACCCCAAATCTACGGAGATCGTTTCTCCTGAGGGTTGGTAAGTAGTAGGGCGGTGGGTAGAGGGGCTGGGCTTGGCAATGATAATTGGAAACATTACTGTATTGACCAGGAAACAATAACCACAGGATGATGATAGCTGCTTGGGAAAACCACAGAGGGCGCTGTACACCCTCTAAGGGCCACAGAGAAAACATGTAGCTTCCTGAGTCAGAGCAGAGTTTAGAAGTTGCTGAGTTCTCCTTTTTAAGGCTGAGGACACTGAGATGCCGGCTATGAGGAGGCTTGACGTTATTTTGCAGACATTTGAGGAGTTACCTGACAAGTGGCTGCCAATAGAAACCCCCCAAGCATTCTGAATATCAGGTAGTAAGGAGAGGTTTGCGGTGGAGTAAGAATTCTGCTCTTGGCTTCTTCCTTTCCTGTTAGGGATTTGACTCTTTTAAGAATCTTGTAAAAATATCATGAGTTACCACAGCAACTCCTCGCCCCCTGTCTATAAGAGTATCAACCATGATCCCCAAGGAACACGTCTCTTCCTGGTTTCATTCACCAACTTTTAAAATTGTGTTGATTGCCGCTCAGTGGTTGAGAGTTGACCTATGAACCAGGAGGTCAGGGTTCAATTCCCAGTCATGGCACATGCCTGGGTTGCGGGCTTGATCCCCACCCAATGGATGATTCTTTCATATCACTGATGTTTCGTTTCTATCTCTCTCTCCCTCTTCCTTCCTCTCTGAAATCAATAAAAATATTTAAAAAATAAGTAAATAAAATTGTATCCCTTTTGTGAACCTCACATTGTACTAGGCTCTGTGCTTATGAATTTTAATGTAATTCTTATGTGAGTCCTTTTTCAATATACACCTGCAGGTCACTAATAAGGGGCTTGTGTCTCCGTTTGGCCTAAGTCCAGCAATCTGAAAGTTGGAAGGTAAGAAGCACTTCGCACCATATTCAGAAATTCTGTTCGTAATCAGAGTTGACACTGTTGAGTCAGAACCTGAAAAGGGACCTCACTTGTGACACGGATAGGAGTTCAAGGAAACAAGACAATTACCAGTAAGAAGAAGGACACGTTTCTCCGGGCCGAATGCCTGCCTAAGCTTGCTCACCAGAGCACAGCTCAAGGATTCTTGTCTCTGACCCTGAATTCCTGACCTGACCCACCCGCCCCCGTGTTCATTCTATGAGGCGTGGCATACACCTGCTGGGGCTCTTTCGGATACAAATATATGCTTTTTTAAAATATATTTTATTGATTTTTTACAAAGAGGAAGGGAGAGGGATAGAGAGTTAGAAAAATCGATGAGAGAGAAACATCGATCAGCTGCCTCCTGCACACCCACCACTGGGGATGTGCCTGCAACCAAGGTACATGCCCTTGACCGGAATCGAACCTGGGACCCCCCCAGTCCGCAGGCTGACGCTCTATCCACTGAGCCAAACCGGCTAGGGCAATATATGCTTTTTTTACATTCTGGCAATAGTCTGGGTTAATTTTTTCACCGTTGCCCCTTAAAAGATGTAGGTTCCCATCTTAATTTGTTAAATTCATGACCCAAAGATCCAAGTCTATCTCTTTTTACCTGAGTTTGATTGTAAATTTGCAGTTACACCCAGATTTATAATATTAGTGATAAAGTGAGAGTGTTGTGATGGATGCCTAGTACAGGTGCACTGTATTAAATAATTCCAATATTTGTCCCTTTTTATAAGTAAAGCCTGTGGAAGCCAAAGATGTGAGGAAGGAAAGAAATCCCCATATGAATCTAATAGAAGGAGCCCTGATGTTGGAGTTCAGAGGTGTTGTTTCATTTAAGTTCCTCAAGGGGGTCCCTCTGAGCACTAGCCAACCCCGTAGCCAAAACACAATATTTATTTTGGTCACTGTAGTCACATTTTTAAAAACTAAACTATAGAATTCTCTTCTTCTCTCAGAATATTGTGTTAGGGATTTTGAGTTCTTTGTTTTAACTGATTTAACACAAACCTCAAGTATAGAGTTCATATATCTGTCTTTTATCTTAAAATTAGGAAAGTTAACTACTACCATTAATTTAAGGTGGAGGGAGAGATTTCATCACGCCACCTCTAGCTATCTGTGTCACAAATGTTGGTTTGTATATACACATATATATGTTTTTTAAAAGACACTAGATTTAGAAATGCCAAAGTAATTAACTTTTTTTTTTTAACTTTCAGAAACAATTTAGTTTCCATGGTACGAAGTGTTTCGAAATGGAAACACTTTCAGATTAATGGACTTAAGATAAATGGTTGCTCTTTTCTCTAAGTAGTAAATGATGAGATGCGGCTTCAGCTAAATATCAGATACAGGATCTCCCTCTCTACTTCCTTATCTCATTTATTTATTCATTCAACAAATATATATTGACCAATAAAAAGAATCCAGACACGTTGCTGGACCTTGGCTATGCAGGCAGATCGAGTAACAGAAGCAAAGGGCGAAAGGGGAGCAAGAACGCGATCCACTCCCCAAACTAAAATGTTTAGTGTGGCTGGGCTATATATTGTAGAAGTAAGGAGGTGAGGTTGGGGGGAGGAGGAAGTGTAATAAATGACAAGTCTAGGAATGTAATGAATCGTGAAGGGTCTCGAATGCCTTGTACAAGAATGTGGGGCTTATCTGGAGAGACTGGAATCAGACCTCAGTTTGGAATTCCTGGCTGCAGGGGGAGAATGGATGAGTTGAGGGCAGGGAGGCGCTTGGGAGGCTGTTTCCAGGGAGAGGAAACGGTGTCTGGATCAGGTTGGTGGTTGTGGGCTGGAAGAAGTCGATATTTAAGAGAAATTTAGTATGTACTTATTTAGTGAAGACAGTCCTGAAAGAAGGAAAGATCTAACTGTATTCTTGGTGATCTGATTAAGGTCCATACCTTCTCCAAGGCGACCAAATGCTGCTACTAACTGATTCTGAATGATGCCGTGGGACAGTTCAAAGCAGTTCTTTCATTAAAAGTCATTGACGCTGGTCAGACAATGCCCACTGACAAGCAGGCTCTTTAATGATCATTGTAATTGTCGCGTTTGAACCATTTTCTCAGCACGTCTAATGGTCATAGAGCTACGGGTCTCACGTGGTTTATTTAACAGAGCAGCCTTCCAGGTAGATATTACTGTTATCTACGTTTTATAGATGGAGACTGGGACTTAGGGAGGTGAAGTCCTCTGCCTGAGGTCAACACAGCCTGTAAGTGGTAGGCCTGTCACTGCCACTCGGAGACGTGTGACAGGCACAGCAGGCATTGGAAACCCGCTCTGCCCTGTGTTATTCCTCCTAAGATTTCTCTTTTTGTTGCTGTTGGTTTCTAACAGGGTACAGCTTCTCTTTAGCTGTATAATCATTTTCTGAGTGAACCCACAGTAAAGAGGATTGACTTTTTTGCTTCTTTTCAAAGAGTTAAAGTAAGTGTGAGAGGGTAGTGGACGGTGAGGCATTCTGAGATGGCAATCAAGTATATATTCCTTCTATTTATCTATTCTAAAGCCAATAATATCTTTGAAAACACAATGTGTTCAGTGTATTTCCTTGTTAGGCCAGTAAATACAGAGAAGATGGTATGTCATTCACGTCGGCCTAGGTGGCAAAGCCTCAGAAAGGTCCGAGTTGGTGCAGTGGTGGAGGCCGTGGGCAGAGGTTCCCCGACTCCCACCAGGACTGCAACCAAGAACGGGGCTGGAACTGAGTCCTAGACCTCCAGCTCGGGGCCCTCAGGGAAGCCCCCGATCGCCAGCTCTGACGGACATTTTTGCAAGGGTCTTGGTGGCATCTTCAGCCACAGCAGTAGTCTCTGTTCATGAGAAGTCAGTAGGGAAGAAAAGCGATGCAAGTGAAGGAAGAGTTCCCTGTGAATGAGAACACTTTTCTGCTCACAAAATAATACAATGAACGCGTTTCTGTGTCTACAACTTTGTCTTAACTCTTTGGACAGCATCAGCTTCTGAGAGACAGCCGAGCCGAGAGAGGACACAAGAAAAACTGCTCTGTGAAGACGGCCAGCAGGTAGGCAACTCGAAACCACGCTCCCTCTGATCTCTGACGCACCTGCCCTTGTTCCCCAGGCCAGTGACATGCCCGTGGTGAGGGGGGTCGGCTTGCCTTTGGTTCTAAAGAGCCGACTTAAAATATTTTGAGTGTCGTTTATAAGAATATATTTTAGGATTACTAAAATGCCATGAATTGAAAGATGCCATTTTGTGTTTATTTTTATTTATTTTTTATTTTTTAAAATATATGTTATTAAAAAAAATATATATATATGTTATTGATTTTTTACAGAGAGGAAGGGAGAGGGATAGAGAGTTAGAAACATCGATGAGAGAGAAACATTGATCAGCTGCCTCCTGCACACTCCCCACTGGGGATGTGCCCACAACCAAGGCACATGCCCCCGACCGGAATAGAACCTGGGACCCTTCAGTCTGCAGGCCGACACTCTATCCACTGAGCCAAACCGGTTAGGGCTTGTGTTTATTTTTAAAAGGTGATGAAAAACAAAGACTAAGATTTTTTAAAAAAGGAAATTTTCTATCTCCCATAACTAATGGATTTTAGTTGGGGTTTAGAATAATTATTTTTTTTAATTTTCAAAAGTAGAGTTAACTTGTTTCCAAAAATGTAAATGGTACTTAGACCCCATGAGAAAGCAACATACTTATTTATTCTTATAATATGTAACCGGGTATATAGAAAATATATTATTTTTAAAAAGTGCTCCTAGGTTCTTGCTCATTTTCTATTACTGAGTCGATGTTCTTTTTTCCCCTTTAATGCAAAGAATTTGCCCCAGTTTATTGCTTTAGGTGCTATAGCTTCAAAGTTTACATGTGGTGATTCTGAAGACTGAATTTTCATTTAGATAAAAATGGCTGTTATAATCCTGAGCAGAACAAAATAACAGACCTCAGCAGCCACTGTTGCATTCCACAGCTCCCCATGGCTCGTGTGTTAGCCACTATGTTCAGATCCCTATGTAGGCACCATTGCTTTCAAACACCATGTTGTACAAGCTAACCCAGCTGAGAATCCGTTAGATACCTGCCGAAGCAAAATGTCAATTCTATCTTACAGACCTAATGCTTCAACAGCAAACAGAAGTTGGACATCCGGGACAGTCAACATAAAACCAATATATTTATCCCAAAGAATATCAGATCCTTTTGCTCTGCCTTCACCTCATTAGAAATACAATTAAATAATTTCACCTTGTTTCTTGGGTCTTGGGTCATAACCTTTGCTAAGACCAGAACATTCAGTGTGGCCTTCCCCAATTGGAAGTCAGCACAACATGTACTGAGCGATGCCCAATACTAAGTGGTGTAATGTTCGTAACACATTTTATTTTTTATTTTTTAAATATATTTTGATTTTTTACAGAGAGGAAGGGAGAGAGATAGAGAGTTAGAAACATTAATGAGAGAGAAACATTGATCAGCTGCCTCCTGCACACCTCCTATTGGGGATGTGCCCACAACCAAGGTACATACCCTTGACCGGAATCGAACCTGGGACCCCTCAGTCCGCAGGCCGACGCTCTATCCACTGAGCCAAACCGGCCAGGGCCATAACACATTTTAATGTTTAGTGCGTAATAATTGGCTTTATTGTTCTAAGAATCCATACAGAAAGACTGATTGTTCACAGCATTGTGCTGAATTACGTAGATCACGTTAGGGCCTTTCCTTTTGTGTTGGGTTCTGTTTTGGGGTGTGTTTCTTTGGGGGGGAATTTGCCCTTCTTCCTTACTTACATGATTTTTGCCATTTACTATTGTGAAGCACAGAAGCTAAATCATCTTAGTAAGTAGCCTGATACATAATTTGAAATCAAATAAAAACATTTTTACATTTTTATTGCCATTATTACCTTCTACTAAACATTTTAAAATGCATTTTAGAAACCTGTATTAATTCATTTTCCTTTGTTCTTACGAGCATTCCATTTTTCATCTACTTAGTATGAAAAGATGTGACAATCCTGGAATCATGTGTGCTATAGTTTCTTATATACTTTTTCTTTGCTATCATCATGTCTGACTAGTAGTGAAAAGTCTTCTAAAATTTTTTAAATGACAATAGATTTCATCAGAGAATCAAAACAAATGCCATCACATTCACACACACATTATTTTCACACACACTCATACACATTCACACACACACTCACAGTCACAAACTCACAATCACACACACACAGTTACACACACACACACACAGTTTGGAAAGAACATTTCTGTTCACACTGACACAGCTCACTCATTTCCATATGATGACACACATCACTGTATTCTGTTGCAGATGTAACAAATACAATTACAGCTGTTCTTTATTTGATCTTCCAAAGACCCAGAGATGCTGGAGGATTCAGTTTGCTCAGTGCTCCCCATAGAGTCATCTGTTATTTGGGAAGGAGACCTAATTTGCAATAGATACAAAACTATTTGTCATTTTGCAGCTTTGCCAAAAATAAATGAAACTATTAATTACTGCATTTTTGAGCAGCTGCTAATAAATTGGGAGAGGATAACTGTTCATTAGAGTTCTGGTTAATGACATGGACGAATGTGCTCCGTGCTGCTTTTCACAGGCGTATATCAACAGCAGTAACTGATGCATTATTTCTGTTATTTAAGATGAGAACTTAACTATCTTGTGTTAATAAATTTAGAAATTTTAACAAATCCTCCTTTGTTGTACTAAAACTAATGATTCAACACCATATTTTAAAGCATCAACTTTATATATTTTGTGTATTTTATGTTTATATGTCCAAAATAATTGCTTGAATCTGCTTTTAAATACTAATTTTAAAAATTAAACTTCTACTATTTTATCATTGTCTCTTTCCAGACCTAAAATTAGCATTAAATTTCATTGTTCTAAAAAAGTTTACCCAGTCCTTCAGATAGAAAAGCATAGTTTAAATTATTTTAATTCATCCATATGTATGCATGAATGAACAAATAGAAAGTCACATACTCCCTCTAATTAGAATGTATACATTCCATATTTTTTTAATTGGAACACATTTAATTGCATATGTGTTCTAATTTTTTTTAAAATTTGAATAGCCTCTAGGTGTAGAGGTACTTAGACTAGAATAATTGGAAACATACCACATATACAACATCAAATGGTTTCCAAGGCATTTGATTCATCTGTTTTACTCTATGTGACCAAATTATCGTTGTAAGAAGGGCACATTCTCCCATTGCCGGCTCTCAGGCCTGCTGTCCGTTTGGCATCCTGAAATTCTAACCTCCCCTGCCGGAACTTTAAACTAATGATTATAGACTTATTTTACATTGTGATTACACTAAATAAAATTAGTTATTAGCCAATTAGAATTCTGCAAGCTTGCCTTCCGTGTGATATGAATAGCCCATACGGAAAAGGGGGATTTGCCATTTGAAAACATGTCATGTGTCCAGAGTGTGGTGAATAAAAGAGCAATGGAGCACTCCCTGGGGAGGCACTCTTTTCCGAGATCTGGCAGATGAACTCGGCTTTTTCAGATGATGAACGTATGCACAGCTGGGCCCCTCCAGAACAGCAGTTGCATTTGGCCATCGTCGCTAATATGGAACACAGTCAGCATCTGAAAGGTGTTCCCGTGACCTGTAGCTGCCATAGATTTGTCGTCTGAAGCCCATTTCCGTAAGGACAGGTGTCTGTTCCGCGGTTGGCACGCTCTGAATTGGTGCTGTGATTAAACGGGCGTGTGCACAGAGATCACCTTTCATGCCCTGAGACGGGTCTCCCGGGACGCCAGGAGGTGCACCTGCAGGGCCGGCACAGCAGGTTTCGGCCCCGCTGCTGCCGGGGTATAACTTCATTATGGGACGTCTGGGTCCCTGGCATCCAGTCGGCGTGCGTGCGTGCGTGCGTGCGAAATACTCCCCCAAACAACAAGCATCCTAATCTATTAGTAAAGGAATCGCTGTAAAAATTAATATTTTAAATCGGCCACTCAAGAAGCAGCAGCTGCTACCTGATCATCTGTACCTTAAGGTCCCCAGACTAAATCTAGTAAGTTCATCTACCACATTGTAGACACTTCCAACTTAAAAATAGAATGTTATGTATCTGTAGAGCAGATCACGTCACCTCCTGGACTCAGAGACTCATAATATAACAAGAGTCATCCTGCAAACTAAAAAGTTTAACGCATAAGTGTAATTAGAACCTTTTAATGTTCATAACTGAAAAAAAATTCAAATATTGAACTTTTAATTGTCACTTGTTTTAGCTCATTTTCATTATCTTTCAATTAGGAGACAATTTAAAACTTAACTTAAAAATCACAAAAGAATGTCCCAGAGAGATAGAAATATGTTTTGAAAAGAATCCATTTTTTTATGATCAGTATTTTTCTTGTTCTTTCTCTTTAGAAACATGTTTTCATCACTCTGTAGTGATTTGTTTGTATACCAAGATATTGTTGGGAATTTACTTTTGCTTATTTCATATACTTCTGATCAATTCCAGCTCATGCCCAATTATATTACACTAAATTAACATAATTCAACAGATGTTGATATTTAAATGTTTTCTGGCATTCACATCTTGGACAGCTGTCTTTGAGCTTGGGGAAAAGGCAAACATTTAGAGTTAAATGCTGAACATATGCTTAAATTACTAATTAGAAAGATGGAATAAAAACTATGCATTATCCTTTCTAAGGACAATAAAGCTCAGATAGGGATTTCTGTAATCTTTTTACATCAAGTTATAGTCCGGGGTATCTACAGACCAGAAGACGTAGACTTCACGGGTAACTTAATTTCAGTTCTCATCATTCAGAAATTACTGAGAGCCTCAGTAAGACTTGAAAAACCTATAATGACTTTACATTGTCAGTCTTACGAGTTGAAAAGATGCCTTTTCACTTATGATGTCAGGATGATAAAAGCCATTTTTAACAATATTATTGTTAAAATTTTCATCATGCAGAAATAGAGAAAAATAGAAACTCAATGGATACATCCCTGGCTTAGATATTTA